GGCGTTGTGGCGGGCGCCTGTGGTCCCAGCTACTTGGGAGGCAGAGGCAGGAGACTTGCTTGAGCCCAGGAGTTGGAGGTTGCTGTGAGCTGTGAGGTCACAGCACTCTACCCAGGGGGACAGCTTGAGGCTCTGCCTCAAAAAAAAAAAAAGCTCATTTGGGCTATGTGTGGAGGAAAGAGATTTGAACCATTCCTAGGAAGCAGAAGCAATAGAACTTGGGGTCTGGTTCCTAATCCAGTGGCCTAGAGACCAGTGGGGCCATTCAGGGAGCTGCAGAACCCAGGGAGACAGAAAGTTGGGGAATGGAGTGGGGAACAGCCTGAATTCAGCTGTTGTCCCTGAGTCTGCATCTCACCAGCTAGACTTAAACTCCTTAGGGACCATAGCTATGCCTCACTCATCTTCATAAGTACACAGTGCCTGGAACAGTACCAGCCACAGCCACTACCCAGTACATGACTCTAAACTGCCCCTGTCCTGGTGCCTGGTCTCTGGCACCTTCTGGCTCCCTTCTGTCTGCCCCAAATAACAAGAGACAGGCTTAGAGGAGACCCGTGGCTTCAGTATACCTCTCTACAGTTTGTACATAGCACTTCCGCTGTTGCCTCTTGTGATCCTTGTAAACCCTGGAGAGGTTAGTGGGGCTGAGCTATCCCTGTCCTAAAGATAAAGGTTCCGTGAGGTCAAGAAATTCGTCCAAGCTCACACAGCTGGGAAGTACAGAACTGGAACTTGAACTCAGACCTCCAGACTCCAAATCCTGAGTTCTTCCTGACACTCCTTGGGACAGCCCTCTACCCCAAGTTACAACATTACGTACAAAATTGCTCCACACATTCCAGAATAAGCATCTGCTCCTCATCCTCCAGAGTGTCGAGTTGAGAGGCCTGGAAGGAGGGAGAGAGGAAGGGGCAGGGGAGTCAACACCCCCTGCTGTCAGGTGCGCCCTCCTCCCCCATCCTCACCTCCTCTCTCAGCTGGTCGTTCTCCTCCTCCAGCACCCTCAGCCTCTTCTGCAGGGCCTCCAGCTGCGGGCAATAGTGCAGTGGCTCTTTCTGACAAGCCCTGGGGGGAGGGGGCAAGTAATAGAGTCAGGGTGCAGGTAGTGGGCATCTCCCCAGGTGGGGCTGAGGATGGTGGTGTCAGTTACTCACAGCAACCCTCCAGCAGGTCATTGCCTGTGTCCCTCCTCACAAAAGGGGGTGTTAAGGATCAGTTTCAGAGAAGGTGCCACTGAGGTGCAAAGGCAGGACACTCACGGCTTAGGAACATCATAGGCCTGATCGTGCTGCTGTTCTTCCTCCTGTTCCTCTTCTTCTTCCTCCTCCTCTTCTTCTTCATCCTCCTCCTCATCCTCATCGTCATCAGAGTCTGAGTAAAGCTGAAGGAGATCATCTCTCAGGTTCACCTGGTGTCTGAGATGTAAAATCTGGCCAGAAGAGGGCAGAGCATGAGTGAGGAGTGGGCAGGAGGAGGGTACAGATCACCCCCTCTGCTCCCAGTTACCTCTTCCCTGGCTGAGCCCAGCATGGCTTCCAGCTTGCTGTTCTGCTCCATCAAAATGCTGTTCTGTTTCACCAAAGACTGGCCGATGCGAGCTGCTGTACTCAGGTCCCGCTCTCTCTGCAGAGGAACCATCACTCATGGGTAATGCTTTCCCAGTTTCTGAGACCTCCCAGGCAGGTGGGAGAAGCCAGGGGGTACATAGGGGTCAGAGGGAGCCTAGGACCCTAGGAGAAACCCTTCCCATCCCTACCTGTCCAGGGTACTGGACCAGAGTCTGTCGTGAACCCACTGAGGAAACTAACTCAGTTTCCCTTTATGGAAAAAGAGCAGATCAAATCAGATGGGCTCTGAGAGCTCTTCCAGCCTGAACATCACCCCCATCTTCTGTTTTCCAGAAGAGGGAGCCCTACCTTGGCCCCCAGGGAGGTAACCGGCCAGGAAACAGACAAGACGCCTACCCTACTCCACAAAACTAAAATGGGGGCCTGGCTGAGTCTCCCCTAGCTGAACTGGGTCAGGGAGGCAGCACCCACCTCCTCCAGCAAGTACAACATCACTTTGATGTCTTCTGGAGTGATCTTCTTAACTGTCCGAGGCAGGTTAGGGCACAGTGCTGCAGGAGGTGGAGAAAATGCCCAGTCAGGTCAGGAAAAAGGGGGCATATTCTACCTGGCAATCCACTGTTTCCTGCCCTGTCCCCAGTTCTCCCTCAACAAGTGTCATGAGGAGAGAAGCCTGGGCTCCCTCCATGCCTCAGCACTCACTCCCCTACTGCCAGGGCTAACTGGACTGGACTGAGCTCTTTTTGTTTGGTTGGTTTTTGTTTTTTGTTTTTGGAAGGGGCCTGAGTAAAGTAAGGGGATCACTGTCCTCTGGACCTAGGAACTGGGCTCTCAGGACGCTCTGGCGCCTAGGAGTACAGAGGCAGCTAAGAGTGCAACCGCAGCCTGACCCATCACTCCTCACCCAGAGCGCAGCTGAGCCAGCTCAGTGGAGCCTCATGGCTCATAAAAACAGGCCAGTCACCCACCCTGCACCTGTTGCATACGGAGAGGAGAGCAGGGAAAAACGTCTCCAGCACCTGACTAGGAGGTACTAGAGCCTCTAGACCCAATCCACGGACCTCCTCCGACACAGAAGAGGATAGAAGGGAAGGGGAGACTGAGGGAGCCGGACCTTGACTCCGGCAGCCAAGAGGAGGGAAAACCTCGAGGTCCGCCCACCCACTTCTCTGTTGCTGGCTAGCCCAGCTGGCCAGCGCAGGCTCAGAGCGCAGCGGGCAGCGCCATCCCGCAGCCCCCCGCCCCTCTACTGGCACTGCGGTAGGCCGGGGAGGAGGCGCGCAGAGCTGCCGCAGCAACAGGCGCGCAAGGGACAGGGGAGTGTCCGGGCCCGGTACCTGACGCACGGACAGAAACCAGGGAACGACAGAAGGGAGGAGGATGTGATGAGGAAGGGGTGATCAGACAGGCACCGCAGTGACATCGCGGGGGTAGTGGAGGGGTGGCAATGGGTGCCAGAGCGGGCGGGGCGCCTGGATCCACCCGGGCTCCCTCCGCCCTGGAGCTGCCCTAGTCCCACCCTCCCTAGAACCCCCGGGACCCGGTTTACCTTCCTCTAGCTCCCGGATAAAGGCGGCGCGCTCAGGGCCGGACACCCCGGGCCGCCGGCCAATATAGGCGGCCGGCGTCTTCCAGATGCCCGCTGCCTTTCCAGTCCCCAAGCCAGTGGCCCGGGGACCAAAGGGCCCTTGGAATACGAAACGAGTCCATGGTGCGTCCGACGTGTCGGGCCTAGGCTGGGCATTCCCCTTGGCTCCAGCCTCAGAGGCCGGACGAGCTCCGGTGGGGGCTTCTGAGACGAATCGGGATCCGGATCCTGCTCCCTGTCCAACCCCCGGTGCCTGCGCGGGAGCAGGTTTGGACTCGGCCGAGGGCTCTGGAGCTGGACTGGCCGCGGGCCGGGGTGCAGAGGCGACCGCTGCGGGGTCCCCGGGTCTGAGTCCAGGCCTTGGCCGGTCCCCAGCACAGCTCTGCCCAAGCTCCTTTGGGCGCATCTCGAGTCAGCCGTCCGCTGCCGCAGCAGGACTTTTATAACCTGCGCAGAACTGAAGCCCGCCGGGCCGCACCACGCGTGAGGACGGGGGTAGCCGAGGAGCACGAGGGAGGCCCGGGACTCGGGGCCACGAGGAAGGGGAACTAGTGGTGGTGGGACAGAGGACAAATAGAAAACAAGAGCGACGAGAAGAGCCGAGTGTGGGTTTCACCTGGTTCCACCCCGGGGTCAGAGTGAAGGAATTCTCCTCCCCGTCCATCTCCGAAGGATGGTTCTGCCCAAAGCCTCTGCTTCTGGGGACTCTGCACAGGGGCTTGCGGGTCCCCAGCTAGAAGCACCTGCTCTCCCGCTCCTGCCGCCAGGGTTTCCGGCTGCCTTCCTCGGTGCCCAACCAATGCTGTCAGGATGGTCCGGAGTGACCTGTGAGTTAGGTAATATGATGTCTTTCCCTGTTGACCGTGAGATAAATCCAACCTCCAGTACTGTCTGTCTGCGTCCTGCCCAGCCTGGCGCACCATACTCTGACCCTTCAGCTCACACCCCAGTGCTCCACAGCTCATTTTCCATTATATGCGTGTTGCGTTTCCTCGTTCTTTACTTCCAGCCCTAATTTGCTTTGCCCATCACTCGCCATCCTGGCAAACACCTATGCTTCTGGGGAGACCCCGCGTAAATGTCTCCCTGTGAGAACTCTTCCGACTTCAGCCCCTACGGCCCAACAGCATCCTTTATCCCTGTCCTGTAGCCATCAGAGTGTCTGTCTCAAGGGCAGACCTGCAGGCGGCGCCCGTAGCTCAGACACCCAAACAGAACCCGGCCCCAGCCAGCTAAACAACAATGACAACTGCAACAACAACCACCAAAAAATAGCCCGGCGCTGTGGCGGGTGTCTGTAGTCCCAGCTACTTGGGAGGCTGAAGCAAAAGACTCTCTTAAGCCCAAGAGTTTGAGGTTGCTGTGAGCTATGATGCTACAGCACTCTACCCAGGGCGACAGCGTGAGACTTTGTATAAAAAAAAAAAAAAAGGGGGGTGCCTGTGGCTCAGTGGGTAGGGCGCCGGCCCCATATACCGAGGGTGGCTGGTTCAAACCCAGCCCCAGCCAAATTGCAACAAAAAAATAGCGGGGCTTTGTGGTAGGCACCTGTAGTCCCAGCTACTCAGGAGGCTGAGGCAAGAGAATCGCCTAAGCCCAAGAGCAGGAGGTTGCTGTGAGCTGTAATGGCACAGTGCTCTACTGAGGGCGAAAAAATGAGACTCTGTCTCTTAAAAAGGAACAGAGTAGACCTGCTCCCATTCCGCTTAGGGAAGGCAGCCTTCTGAGCACAGCACAGAACCGAGTATTTCTGATGGTCACCGTAGGTCCTGAATAGATTGTGGAGCATCAGAGGAGCCCAGAGGCTATTTCTGTGCCTTTGGACTAGAATAAACTGTAAGCCAAAAAGAGATGGCTGTCCCACTGATTCTTTTCAAGCCTTGGTGTCATTCTTGGTGCTCTCTTTCCCTTCTTCTCAATACCCAGTCTCTAAGTCCTGCTGAATTTACCTCTTAAAATATTCATCAGACATTCTGTTCTATCTCTTCACCCTCCTGCTGTTTTCCAAATTCAGACCTCATCTTCTCTTCTCTGAGTATTGTGCTACACCTCCCCACCCCACCCTTCACGGGCACACCCCACCCTGGTTTCCCTGGATCCACGTGGGTGACTCCATCTCTTCTCCATTCCTCTCACTCTCACGACTGTCTAAGCTGGAGAATTCCAAGTATCCCCTCGCCACAGCTACCACTCCTAGCTTGAGCCCCAGATGAGAGCTACTGCCCAAGGTCTGTGCCTGGGACACAGGCTCCTAAGTGCCTTTGGAGCCAGGTGCCTGTGACACAGCGTGGAACAAGAGATACAACCCAGGAAGGATCAGAGTGCCACGCCACCAGCTCCCCTGTCAGGAGGCTTTGTCATCAGAGTGTTTCCCTCTATCTGGGTCCATTCATTCCTTAAATAAGCTCTTTCCCTGTTGACCGTGAGATAAATCCAACCT